GGGGGGAGGGAGACAGGAGGTAACGAGTCGACGCGTGGGGGCGCAGCCCAGCCCGCCGCCGCACTGGTCGAAACGGCATCGGGTGGCCGTGCTGAACACGAACCTTGACCCCGCGAGTCCCCGCCGGGCCTCTGCCGGCCGCCGCGACCGATGATGGCGAGCTGATCGGATATAGACGTCAGTCCCCGGCCCGCGCCGTAAAGCACCGCGTCCGGCGTCGCGTTTTGCGATCGGATCGAGCCGTTGTTGCGGCGTGACAAATATTCGGGTTCAGATTCAGGTCCTGCGCACGCCCAGGGTCGTCTGGAGACCGCAGCACCGCCGTCTCCACCGTCAAGATGACCGTCCTCCGGGGCCCCCGCTCCCGGGTTCTCCGAGGCTCACTCTTCGGCAGCTCCCTCCTGGTGCTGCTGGTCGCCCTCCACATCGTCACCGGTACGTGGTGGGGGCGTCGTCGTGGGGTAGGGCCCCGCGACCCACCGAGACGGGGGCAGGGATAGTCCTTGGAGGGGGTTTTCTACATCGTGCCCCCACCCTATGGCCGCCCGTCGCCCTGCCCCGACATTCTAGTTAGCTTGCGCACCTGTCTTAGACCAAATCCCGATTCCGTTTCCAAGATGCCAGCCCCGTCACACCGCCGTCAACGACGACGTCGAGCCAGGTGGTGGACGACGTGTGCTACACCGACGGCTGCAACCACACGGGTGAGTGCCTCGGGGACGCTGTCCCGTCTCCTCGCGCGGACCGACTTCGCGGCGTGCTCATGAACAGCGTCTCCTGTCCCCAGCGTCCGAGTTGTCGTTCTCCATCAACGCGCAGGCGGACCCGTGCCAGGACTTCTACCAGTTCGCATGCGGCGGATACGAGATGGGTACGGAGATCCCCGAGGACTCCGAGTCCGTGAGCGTCATCTCGCAGATGGAGTCCAAGCTGCGTAAGCAGCTGCAGCAGTTGCTGTCGGAGCCGGACCGGGAGGCTGACCCGGCCGCCTTCAACAAGGCGAAGACGCTCTACCGCTCGTGCGTCAACACGACGCGCCTGGAGGAGCGGGGACTGGAGCCCGCCCGCAAGATCCTGGAGGTGGCGGGTGGTTGGCCGCTGCTGGAGAACGACTCCTGGGACGAGAGTAAGTTCGACTGGAAGCAGACACTATACGCGTTCGAAGAGATGGGCATCTCGAGCGAATATTTTCTGTTCAACGTTGCCGTGTCCGTCGACGCCAAAAACGCCACAAAGCACATAACCCATGTGAGTCATTCAGTCCCTTGGTCTTTCGACGGCATGGCCTTCGCTTTTAAAACGTTTCACGGAACGTCCTGGAGAATGCACTTCATGTTCTGCTGTAGATTTCGCCACCTGTATTCCACCTGAACGTCAAGCCTCTGGACATCAAGTCGCAGCTCGTGCACATCAAGAAATTCGTAGACCAGTTGAAAGCAAGCGCCCTTTTGCTGGCCGAGCCGAACTCCACCAGGACCAACGCCAGCTTGATTGAGATCGAGTCGAGGATGGCTATCGGTTTTGAGGTCGCGCTGAACAGGGTGAGCGCTGAGTTCTGGCCAGGTTAACACTTTGACATAAATATAATAGAATCATGAAGTAATATTAAGTATATTAGTTTGTAGAGTACTGGAGGGTACTGGGTGATCCACGCCGTCTTTTTCTCTGCTTGTACTGTACCGGATTCATGCGGTGCGGACGGGTTGCATACTCGCACGGGGCCGTGAGGACCCATGGCCGGTGCAGCTAAATAGTTCGACCTATTTTTCTCCGACCTGGCGATTTTTCCAAAATCCCCAAAGTGCTGTCCGACCTAATTTTTTCCGACCCATTTTTCTCCGACCTCATCGATATGCTGAAATTTTGGAAAATGTGGCTCCTGCAGTTATACTTAACGCACGTTTGGTTTTCCTACCCGAGGCCGGCCGAGGCCGGCCGGGTCCCAGGTGGGACTCGAACCCCAGCGCGGGTTGCCGACTAGTCGAGCTTCTCGTACAGTGCGTAAAAATTCAAACAAAAAAACGAATAATTTGACGGCGCGTCGAGTATTAGAACCCCCGACTCAGGGTTCAAATTTCGCAACGATATCAAGGAGCCACGAGGTCGGTCTCGAAGCCCCAGGTGAGAAGGTGTAGTGATGGGACCGGTTCTTTTCCCGCTCAAGCTACTGCGCTGACTCGTGCCTTGAGCCTAGGTCTCCCGGCCACCCGCCCTGTGGCGCCGTAGCCGCGCCGGTAGAGAGCCGGCCCCGTGCGCCACAAGTCAGGGGTTCGAATCTCCCATCCCAGTTACATTTTTCTGAACCGGTCGAACTCTCCGAGTTGAACTTAAACCCGTCATTTCAACCGGGCAACTTCGTGGATGAACGAACGGTCTGGTGGTTAACGCTGCCCCACTGGACTGGGGGTGACGATGACTCGGCACTGGGG